TAATTTTTAAAACAAAGAATGCAGCAAATTTAAACAGCATGTTTAAAAGTAATATTATATTTTACTGATAAATTATTCAGTATTACTCAAAATAACTAATGGGATATAAATGCATAGTAGGGCCCAGCAGATGGCTTAGCAGGTAAAGATGCTTACCTCCAAGGCTGACAACCTGAGTTCATTCCCTGGGTTCCACGTTGTAGAAGGCTGACTCCCATAGGTTGTCCTCCAATCTACACGTATATATGCACATGTATACACACACACACACACACACACACACACACACACACACACACACTAGTGTATCACAACTTCCTGTAGCTCCAGTTCCAAGGGAACCAATGGGCTCTTCTGGCCTCCAAGGGCACCTCCACACATGTGGCACACACATATATACACACATAAATAAAAGTAAATCTTTAAAATATATATTTAAAAATTTTAAATTAATGCAAAGTAGTTATTTTTATATTTGGCATAAAAGCTAAGAAGCTTCAAAAGAAAAGTAATCTAACAACAAAACAAGTGGGACAGCAGAGGCACATGGCTTCAATAAACCTTGGCAGATTCTGTAAGAAAGGAATATGTAAGCTGTCTTTTAAAAATTTAGCCTTGGCCAGGCATAGTGGCGCATGCCTTTAATCCCAGCGCTTGGGAGGCAGAGGCAGGTGGCTCTCTGTGAGTTCAAGTCTAGCCTGGTCCACATAGCAAGTTCTAGGTCAGCTGGGGCTACAGGGAGACCCTGTCTCAAAAAGACCAAAAATAAAAAATAAAAATAAAATGAAAAAAAGTTAGCTTTGTGCCAGGCATGGTGGTATATGCCTTTAATCCCAGCACTCGGGCGGCAGAAGCAAGTGGATCTCTATAAGATCAAGATCAGTGTGGTCTACATAGTGAGTTCCAGGCCAGCTGGGGCTACAGTAAACCCTGTCTCAAAAAGATTAAAAAAAAAAAAAAAAGCCTTGGGTGGTGCATGCCTGTAATCTCAGCACTTGGGAGGCTGAGGCAGGAGGATTAGGAGTTCAAAGCCAGTCCTGGCTACATAGTACGTTTGAGTCCAGCCTGGACTATGAGAGACTTTATTTAAAAAAAACAAAAACAGCCTGGCGTGGTGGCGCACACCTGTAGTCCCAGCACTTGGGAGGCAGAGGCAGGCAGATCTCTGTGAGTTCAAGGCCAGCCTGGTCTACATAGTGGGTTCCAGGACAGCTGGGGCTTACAGGGAGACCCTGCTTCAAAAAGACCAAAACAAAAAACAAAACAAACAAACAAAACAACTATTACCCTGCTGGGGAAGCCTCTGGCTTTTGCAAAGGAATGCTTGACCTTGGTTAAAGCCTGAGAGACAGATGACTTTGACTCAAAATCTCAAAATGTTACAGAGGGTGTAGCTTAGTGGTAGAGCACTTGCCTACCTGGGTATAATTCTGGGCACCATTTAAAAAGGGTGGGGAGGGGGCAACAGGATAACTGATAAAGTTACCACTCAAGTAAGGGCTGTGCAGACAGGGTTAGGAAAGAAATCCATGTGACAGAAATGCAGTAAAAGTCAACAGAGCATGTCAGAGTACAGATAATTCCAAATAGCCCAATCTGCCTTCCCCAACCAGGAGATCCATATGAACTGGTAGTTCTATTTTGTCCACTGCTGTATCCCCAACTTCTAGAATAGTACCTGGCTCCTAAACAGATGCTTTTTAGCTCTCTGAGGAGTGTGTGAACATAATCTGCTTCAGAAGAGAGCCTTATCCAAGGAAATTGCATTCTAAATATCTAACAAGCAGGTAGGGTATTATGTTAAGCATCATGTAAAATGTAGCAGAAACTGACATGGTATCTCCAGCAGTAATCCCAGCACTCAGGAGGCTGAGGCAGGAGGATCTTGAGTTCAAGGCAGTCTGAGTGAGAATGAGATCATACCTTATAAAATAAAACAAAATCAAGTAACTGTTATACAAGCCTCTAAAAGGACACAGGAATGAGGGACTAAGTCCCTAACAAGCAGACTTGTTAATGAGAAATAAAAAATCCATACTTTCTGCTGCTTTTCCATCTGAGACAAAGGCCTGGGACCTCCCCACCTGCCCTTGCCAGCCAGCAGGGGTACCTTTCTGACTCACTGGTTCAGATCTGGATATATCTCAGCTTGGAGCTGTGGCCTATCAACTCTCTCTTCTTAAGTTGGTCAATCTAAAATTAGGGAAGGGAACCGGTCCCATACCACCAAAAACATTGAAAAGGCCCAAGTCCTCCCTGGGGGCTTTGAATTTTTCTGTTTCGGAGTCTCTTTCCACTTGTGGAGAGCTTTTCTCTGTGTGTGAGTATGTATATGTTTCTTTGCTTTTAATAAAAAGTCTGTTACCTATTGCTTTCTGCTGTGTTTGAGATTTTTCTGCCTTTTAATTCATTAATTGGCAGAGAAAACAAACCTGATAAAGACCCTTAGACAGTAACAAGAATGCATATAGTTCAGCAGAGGGAGGGGCCGTGATGGTTCAGCATTTTGGGGAAGAAAATAGTATTAGGAATGGTCTGGGTAGTGAGAATGGCAGGGCTTAGAACAGAAATGTCAGGCCTTGGTTTTACATTCAATGTCTTGAGCAACCTGGGAACAGGGGCCATTTCACCTACCTTTGAATGGCAGGGTCACCTTATGTTCTCTGTAGGTGCTCAACAAATGTCTGTGAACACTTGTTCAACTGAACAAATTGAGATCCGGGCAATTGAGATCCAGAATCAGCAGGGTGGCCAGGAACAGGTAGAGAATAGCAGGGCTTCCTACCTACTTCTTAGCCTCTTTCACGTGAATAACTGTGGCCAGTTCAGGATGAGTACTGTCAGAGTGTGGTCTGAGAACGCTGGGCCAGAGTTAAATGGTCCATTTATGGCATCCTGAATCAAAATCCTGGGACCTAGGGGTCTGGGAATCTAGTTCAGTAGTTAAGGTGCCTGCCTAGCTCAAAATCCCCAGCAATACATAAACTGGGCCTGGTGGTGGTGTCTATAATGGAGGCGGAGACAGGAGGATCAGAAGTTCACAAGTTCAAGGTCATTCTTAGCTTTCGCAAGTTCTAGGTCAGTCTTGAATACATGAGACCCTGTCTCACAAAACCAACACACACACACATGCAAGCAGGCACGCACGCAGGCACGCACACACACACACACCATCCTGGGACCTAGAAACTGGCATTTTTATTTTTTTTTATTTATTTTGTTTTTTGTTTTTCTGAGACAGGGTCTCCTTGTAGCTCTAGCTGGCCTGGAACTCACTATGTAGACCAGGCTGACCTTGAATGCACAGAGATCTGGCTGCCTCTGTCTCCCAAGTGCTGGAATTTAAGGCATGTGCCACCATACCCAGTGAAACCGGCATTTTAAGCACATACCCGAATAAGTTTCCTGTATACCAGTTTGGACTCTTCTGTTAGGATTTTGTAGACAAGCCATAAAGATCCAAGAAGAACCCTTAATCACTCACATCAAGTAACTAAAATCCAAAGGGCTAGGGAAATGACGATTTGGGGTAGTTCCCGTGTGACAGATGCTGTTCAAGATGCCTTTAACAGACACAAATTTAATCATCAGTGATCCAAAGGAGCAGTATATGATAACCATCTTGTATTAAAAGAAACAAGCTTGCTGGATGTGGTGGCTCACGCCTTTAATCCCAGCAGTTGGGAGGCAGAGGCAGGCGGATCTGAGTTCAAGGCCAGCCTGGTCTACATAGTGAGTTCCAGGACAGCTGGGGCTACAGGGAGACGCTGTCTCAAAAAGCCCTCCCCCCCCCAAAAAAAATAGAGAGAGAAAGAAAGAAACAAGCTCAAGAGCGGGAAGGTGCCTAACAGCACGGCTAGTGACCCACGGGGACTTGAATTCCCGAGTTTAATAGCTGAGAGGACATACTTCCAAAGCCTCTCTGCATCTCAGGAAACTGCAAAATAGAGGGACACAGGACATCATCTGGTTCCCAGGTCAGCTTTGGAGCAGTTGGATCTGCCTAATTGAAGTTCTAGAAGTCAAGATTTGAGAGTTTAATGTATCTGGTTTGGACTCTAGTGTGTTCAAGTCATCTTTGACTTTAATAACCCTAATAAAGGGGCTGGCTGAGTGCTGGATGAAGTGATGTGTATAGAAAATTCACATGCCTTCTGAGTGGCAGGGGTGGGAGGAGACAGCAAGGAAGGACAAGCTGATGCCCCTACATGTAACATTGCACAGATTTTGACTAGAGTCTCTCAAAGGGTAGCCTCTGCTGTCCAGGTAGTGTCCTATTTCAAAGAAAAGTCCAAAGTCTAGCTTTCCTTGTAAAATATGCCAATTCTGAAATAGCTATAACTAATTCAAAGTTTGAAATACACCAGATCAGCAGCAGATCTGGAAGACTGAGTAAGGCCCTTGAAGCTCCCACATTCAGTCTCTGATACACAAGAAGAGAATCCCAGGGCATCAAGCTGCCTGTGGCAGCTGGGATAGGATTTACTGGAGTTTGTCAGTTTCCTTTTTGAGTGTTATGTGAAGGTATATCCCTGTTACTTCTGTTGGCTTAATAAAACATGCTTAGCTTTATCGGGTATGAATCAGATGTAGCCAGACAGCCAATTGTCTGTAAATTCAATTGGGGTCTATTAGTTTTCCTTAGTATTGCATGACTGCCTCATTTTGGGTGATCCTCAATTGACACTGGACAATTTTAAGTGTGTGATTCCCTGGTCTCTGAGCTAATTTTAAAGGAAAACAAAGTGAACACTGGGGGAAAGAATTCTGAGTTTCTGCAGGCACCCTATCTGCATCTTAAACAAAAACCACTGCATTTGGGGATTTTACAAGTTGAACTTATCTATACTGAAGTGTGAAAGCTGTTTTAGACCAGAAATGATCCATGTCTCCTTGTATGATTCTCACATGCACACCGAAAGACCCACAGACATGTAGAATGACTAGTACTCGTTTTTAACATTTCCACAGCGTGAATATCCACTCTTTCCGAATCGGCACCGCGTTTGGAGATGTTTATTTAACTACTTTACTGAAGGGTCCAAGATAACCGCTCGCTCTCTCTCTCTCTCTCTCTTTTTTTTTTTTTTAGCGTGACACATTTATTTCATGTCATCAAGAGAGGCAACGTTAACTGATCACAAGGAAACTCATTAAAACGAGTACAGTGTGTGGCGGGGGGCCCAAGTTGAGCAGAACGGAGCGGGATGGAGCACCTTTGGGCCGGGCAGAGGATGGAGCATCTGCCGGACGCACCGGGGATGGAGCACCTTCGGGAAGGGCCGGGGATGGAGCACCTACATGACGCTCTCGGACTCCCAGTGGAGAGGCAGCAGGACCGGAGCCACGTGGGGCTGCAGGCGCTTTCCCCGCTAGGTTTCGGAACTGTAGTTTTCCACTGTAAAAAACCAAAGAGCATTAAAGGAGCCTGCAAGATCTGGACTGAGAAGCCTTCCCTCCCCGGAAGCAGACGGGCCCGAGTTCCCGGAGCCTCGAGGCCGGTATGTGGCAGAAGGAGGCGCGGAGTTTCCCGCGCGCCGCGGACTGACTGGAAAGTGGCAGGAAAGCCGCCCGCTTGCGGGGACGTAGACTAGGGCTGGGAGCAACGCGGGGCAGCTCAGTAGCAGCCGCACCTCCCCCAGCACCTCCCCTTCCCGCCCTGTCCACACCCCCACCTCCGGCCCCCCCCTTCCCTGCACCTAACGTAGCCTCCTCTTCCCCTCCCCCTCTCCCCTCCCCCATTCTACTTTCCTCTTCCCCTCCCTCTTTTTCTTTCCCTCCCCTCCCCCACCCTACTCCCTTCTTCCCCTCCTCTCTTTTCTCTACCCCTTTCCCATCCCCTCATCTCGCCTACCCTTCCCTTCCCCTCTCCCTTTTTTCCTCTCCCCTCCTTTTTCCTTACACCCCTTCTCCCCCCCCTTGCCCTCCCCCTGCTCCTCTACCCTCCCTCCTAGGGCTGCGCACACAGATCTGGGCAGAATGTGGCTCCTGGAGGCTGTGTGAGAAGTCCTAGGAGACCGGTCTGCAGCGGCTCCCCGGCGGACTGGGCCCAGGAGCCTCCGGGATGAGACTCGTCCCAAGCCTGCGGTCCCAGCGGTTCTCGCAAAGCGTTGATCCTGCTTTTGAGATTCAGCTTAGAGCGAGGTTCGCGTTCGGTTTTATTTTGGACAGGGAAATGAGGACGCGAAAAGATACTGAGGGAGTGAGGCAGGAGGACCGAGGCTTCCTCCACCGCGGAACTGCGTGGGAAAGGGGTGTAGACATCGGGTGGCCCCTAAGGCGACGAGACGACTGGCGCAGCCGAGGCCCAGGGAAGGAAAGTGGGCGGTATTTCGGAGGCCCACACTGATGGGTCTTCACTAGATCCATCCCAGCCCAGATGCTTGGACGCCGGATGTGACCAGTGCGTTTTTTACCTGGTTTTCCTAGAGCCAGGCCCGACACTTAACACGCAGTGAATAGCTTATGCCTGCAGAGTGCATAGCAACTTTCTCAGCATCAGTCCTTATAAGAATTTTGTGTCTCTTTTATTCCCATTTTAGACGGGAGCAGATTGAGAGGTGGGTAGGCTCAGGGGACTTAGCCAGGACCACAGAGCTCTTCCTGGTCTGTTGGGGCTCAAACATGTCTCTAAAATTCATGCTATGACTTAGTATTTGGAGGCTTGCCGCATCAAGGTTCATTCCTACACAGACAGCGCTGGCACCCTGTGTAGGTAGAGGAAAGGCAGGTAGATTGCAGTAGTTAAGAGTTCTCCCAGACTTGTTTCACAATGGATATAATCGGCTCAGCTGCCTCTTAAGCCCTCAGGGTAGTACTGCAGCCTTTCATTAACCTGGGTCTGTGAATTCCTAGACCCTCTCCAGAAGGGTACTTGAGCTGCTGTCTGGCTAACCAAGTCTCCATGTGGTTTAGGGGAATTCCCTGGGCCCTAGGCTAGTATTCCTGTGCAAAATTACTTAACTGTCCAACAGGATTTAAAAAATCCCCCAAACTCCCATTTTCTACAAAGAAAATGTACAATAGTGAGGAGAGAGTGACTAATCAAGGACAGCCGAACTTGAAGGCTTAGTGGGATACTTGCAATGTGCCCAATAAGCTGGATTTTGAAGAACATCTGAGGACAAACCGAGACTTCTGGCCTCTTCTTTATTTTTCAAGATGTTTGCTTTAGAGATGAAGTGGATACTTGGGAAGTGACAAGATGATGGCACATTTATGGTCCAACATAACTGTCTATCCTTTTGTTTCTCCCTAGCAAGTATAAAGCGCCTGGTAGTGTTGGGCATCTCTGACAGCTTCTTTTCTGAAGGTTTGGAGAGCCCATCAAGAATGCTTTTCTGCTTCAGTTTCTATATTTACTGCTTAACACCTGTATGTTCATAAGTCACCAGAACACATCCTCAACTTCCCCCAAATGAGCTGATTTAATAAGCCCAGTCTGCTAAGAAAGTTAGTGAGAAGGCTGATCTCACATCTGATATCCACACATGTTCCAACAGAATGCACAGGGAATTGATGTTCTATAGGCAGTTTACTAGAAACACTACAGGGTGCTGAGGCTCATTTATTTGTTCTGTTTTGTTTTTGGAGACAAAGTATCACTATGTAGTCCTGGCTCACCTGAAATCTCAAACTTGTGATCTTTCTGTCTCTGACTCCTGAGTGCAGGTATGATGGGGTGAACCACCATGCCAGGCCTGGCTTATGTCTTTCTAAACCTAGTATTTACCCCCCTCTGGGAGGGCTAGGAAGTTCTCACCATTAGCCCCTTGCCATTTCTTTTTATAAAAAATGAATTTATTTTTATTTTATGTGTATAAATGATTTGCTTGCATGTATGTAAGTACACTTAAGTCATGCGATGCCCACAGAGGCCAGAGGAGGGCATCAGATCCCCTGGAACTGGAATTAAGGGATGGTTGTTAGCTGCCATATGGGTGCTGGGAATTGAACTTGGGTCCTCTGCAAGAGCAGCTAGTATTCTCAGCTGCTGAGCCATCCCTCCAGCCACCCTCTCTTACTTCTTTAGGTTAAGAACAGAAGCCACCAAAGAGGGCCTTACTACACCTTGATACCCAAGCCTTGTTTGGGAGAGGAGGGGACAGGAGGCCTGTCTGTGTCTTCTTAGACTGATGACCAAATGAAGGAAATGGGCTCCACTCATCAGCATCCCAACAGAAGGGGCCTCAATAATTCTAGGCTATGTTTTACACTGAAATTGGTCATTTTTCCTGGGGTGGCCTGCTTCCCCTAGTTTTATTTTATTTTGGAGTTGGAGATAGATCCCGGTGCCTAACCATGCTAGGCAAGCACTGTACCACCAAGCTACATTTCTAGTCCTTCCCTAGCCTTTTTGTCAGGATGGCTTAGATGGTAGAAGATAGGGCTGAGGCTGCCTCTAAGGAAGGCTCCTTTTCTTGGGACCTGACATCATGCGTTCCTTGTGCTGGGAAGTATCTTGGGCCATTTTCTATTACTATAACAGAATACCACAGAGCAGGTAACATATAAAGATGTTCAATCAGCTCACAGTTCTGGAGGTTGGGACCAAGGATAGACCTGCAGTACCTTGTGAGAGCAGGCTTGCTTTATAACAGTTGCTCTCTGGATTATTCTATTCATGGGGACTTATGACCCTCATGACCCAGTCCCTTCTTATTAGGCCCCACCTAGCATTACTACATGGGGATCAGCTTCTAGCACTTGAACGTAAGGGACAGTGCCATACAGAGATAGAGCCCTGGATGGTGTGAGAGACTCCCTTCCTTCTGGGCACCCTGAAGATGACCAAATGGGGCAAAGCTTAGTGCTGTGCCTCTTCAGCAACTGCAATAGGCGCAGAGCTCCTTTTCTACCTGGCCGTTGCAGCTCTCTTTGCTGGTGGCTCCCCTGTACACCCTATTTACTCCTCAGGCCCATCTACCACTGCAGGGCCCTGTGCCCCCACCTTTCCGATGAATGTGCCTCTCTGGGTGCCATTCTTTTAAGATTTATTTTGTGTATGCATGTGTGTATGTGCACACGAGTACAGGTGCCCAAGGAAGCCAGAGGCATTGGATCCCTTGGAGCTGGATTACAGGTGGTTGTGAGCTAGAAATCGAACTTGGGTCCTTTAGAAAAGCAGTATGTGCTCCTACCAGCTGAGCCTCATCTCCAGCCCCTGGTGCCATTTTTCGTGTCATTTCCAGAGACTAAGAGGATCTGCAAAAACCATGGGCCATGTAGTTATTCTTATGAACTGGAGACTATATAATGTCTGCAGTCCTGTCTGGCTCTGGGGCAGGACAGTGAGGGAGATCCTATGGGTTTTTAGTATCTCTTCAGTCTTCTCAGGGAGCATGAACCACTTACTTCCGTATGCATAGGCTGCCACTGAAGATGGATGATGCGTAATAAAATTAAGATGAAGTTCTGTGTAAATCATTTCAGCTCACAGAGATTGTAGAATGCTGGAGATGAAAGGGATATGAAAGAGGGTGGTTTTCTTCTATCTCCTCATTTTGCAGCTGTGGAAACAGGTCCAAGAAGGGGCACTGAGAAACCTGCTATCATATGGCTGTCACACGGGCTGGAAAGTATACCCTTCTCCATGGCCACAGCTGCTATACCTGCCGCCATATTTCCACCTCTGCAAAGTTAAGGAAAAAGCAGTCCTCTAAGCATCTTCACCACCCACTCTGTTTATTGTTTCCAGCTGTTAAAAATTGCTCCTCTTTGAAGTGAGTTGCTCCACCAATCATCCAGGGTCACCATTCCCAGGAGTGCAGAGCTAGAGGGGGAAAAGGCAGGTGATGTGCAGAAACATAATTACCAGTCTCTTCCCTGGCACATCGGGACTTCCGTCACTCAAATCCTGGGTAAATACTAACCTGCAGGGCCAATTGCTAACTGCAGTGAACTGTACCTTTGCCCTCTGGGGGTGGGAAGCTAAAGGAGATGGCCATTCCTAATCTCGTTGGCTTTGGATGGAAAGGTGGTTTTGCCTGGTGGAAGCCTTGGAGAGTGGATAATGTGTGTCTATGCCCTGTAATACTCCCCACAATCCTGTAAGATAGTGGCCAAGAAAACCTTACAATCCAACTCTGGTGGCACAGGCCTATAATCCCACCTACTTAGGTGGCTGAGGCAGGAGGGTTACAAGTCTAAGACCTGTGTGGGCTACACAGAGTGAGTTCAAAGTCAGCTTAGGAAACTTAGTAAGACCCTGTCTCAAAATAAAAAGTAAAGAAGGCTAGGGATATAGATCAGTGATAGAGCACTTGCCTAGCATGCACACGGCCCTACACTGAGTCCCTGGTTCTAAGAAAACCACAAAAGCCTCACACATGCTTTTGGCTGTCTATGCCTTTGTCTCAGTTGAGACCTTTTATCAAGCCAGGGGTGGTGTCACAGGCCTATAATCTCAGTACTTGGCCAGCTGAAGCAGGAGGACCATGATTTCAGTCTATCTTGGGGTACCTAGTGAGACCCTATATCAAAAAGCCAAAAAACAGCCCATAAAACAATAACAAAAAACAAACCCCAGCTTAGTATGGTGGTGCACACCTTTAATCTCAGCACTTGAGAGACAAAGGCAGATCTTTTCGAGTTCTAGGCCAGCCTGGCAGCCTGGTCTACATAGTGAATTCCAGGCCAGCTACGGCTACATCGTAAGACTCTGTCTCAAAAAAAAAAAAAAAAAAAAAAAAAAAAAAAAAAAAAAAAAAAAAAAGGAGGGGCACAGGGCTCTATGTTATTCCCCAGAGC